GCAGTGTTTCCAGTGACTCTTGGTGATTAGTCTACACTGTCAACAAATGTATTTCTAAAGCTCGGCATCCTTGAACTCCCCCCCCCCACTTGCTTCCCACAAAGAAGCAGTCATTTGTTTTGTTTGATTTGGTTTTTCAAGACTGATCGTCTTGTATAATTGCTGCGAAGAAACTGGTGGTGGTTTATCATTCTCACGGGCGTGAGTGAAGAATGCTTATGTTATGGTTTGTTCGTTAAAATGTTTTTTTAACGTCCTTGTTTTGTGCAAGTGTGTTATGTATAGTATGGAAATGTCGTTCACGTATGCGGCTGGATTGCTGTGTGTAACATGTTTGCCGCCACTCTACGAGTTTGCACATGGTTGTAAATTCCATTCCCTTAGGCAACGGTAACGTGGGACATTACCAAAGCAAAGCGAGACCTTGGCAACCTTTTGCAAGAGTAGGCTGTTATCTGCTGATGTCATGCAAGAATGTAAACGTTGAAATTGTTTGGTCAATAATTTGCTGAATAAACCACTCCCGTATTTAATGCGTATTTGTGAGATGTTTCTGGTTATCTTTACAGAAAATGTATTGTATCTCGTTGGGAATTTACTTGCTTACATACTGGCTATGGGGTTTCACTGAAATATTGTCCAAAAAAAATAGCAGAGATTTTTCCGAATCCGTCAATGTCCTTTTGGTTGAAGGATCGTATTGTCTACGTGTTTTAAATGTCTCCACTCGAGAGTACTCTTACTTTGAAACATTTGTGTGTTGAATGCATTGACCACATTTCACTTTGAATGTGACCATGGCGTGATGATGCAATGTTCTCCAGAGCAGTGAAAAATGCCGGGGATGCGCGAGCATTGATGTGGAAAAGGAATCGGGCAGAAAGAGATTGCGTTCTGTGGCTAGCCTCGCCCATTGGTGTGGGCATAAATATCATGAGTTGTGCGAAGGTGAAATGCAGGCCAGCAGAGTAAGCACAACCGCCAGTGGTGGCAGGATGAGACAGTCTTGAGACATGTTTATTGCTGGTGTTGGTCCTGTGGTTGTCATTCAGTCCCCGCCCTGGAACAGCTTGTGCCTATGGGTCATTGCTTCATTTCTAATTAATCTGAATGAGTTCTGTACGTCGTATATCAAAGTTTCTGGAACTTATGTCACTATTAGCCTCAAACTCACTGTGATGCCAGCACTTTATGGTGATGAGATCCAATATCAGCCGCAAATGATCTACACGACCGCACACTTGATTTGCGTGTTCAGTTGATGAGCATTAAAGTACGTCACGCTCTCCTTTTATATCCAGTAGGTGATATCAAAGTCTATTTACTCCGTGGATGTATTTGTAGAAATGACGTGTTGGTTCCCACTAGTGTGTTGTTCATGAAAAATGTAATCCCGTTTTCTCTTTTCTTTTTATACCTCATCATCATTACGGTCCATGAGCAGATAGCCCCGAGGTGTCAATTTGTTTCCACTTTCTTCTATCATGTGCCAATATGCTCAATGCAATCTTCCTGGCACCAATATCTTATGTCGTTGTCAAGCCGTTCTCTATTAGGTCTTCCTCTCCTTCTGGTTCCCTTCTATTTTTCCAAACAACACACTTTTAATGTTCCCGTTGTCCAACTTACGTATGTCTTTTGTACAGTCATTGTCCATTGTCAGTAGACTTGCCAAGTAGACAAATTCCTTTATATTCACAATATTGCTGCTTTATATTATTACTTCTTTCTCAATGGCCTCCCTTCCGAACACCATTGTCTTTGTCTTCGTTAATCCTCAGTCCTGCATCCTTTCCTGACGTATTCAGCGTATGAACACTTACTTGCAGTACTACGTAGCTTTCTTCCATCAGATCTGTCGTCCGCAAATCTCAGGTTTTTGTATTCTTTATCCTTGCTCAGGTATCCCTGTGCCGTGTCCTGAATGGCATCCATCACTTTTTTCAAATGTGACGAAGTTGTTTGGTGATCGTGGATCCTCCCTGTCTCATGCCTCTTGTTGTTGGGAACCATTCTCCTATTTTCTGTCCAAACTGTACTGCTGACTTTCACCTTTCACCTATACCCTGCAGAATCTGTCTCAGCCTTTTCCCTACTTCATATGATCTTAATTTTTCCCACGTTATATCTTAGTCAAATCGAATGCTTTCTGGAGATCTATGAAACAGTTGTAAACCAGCCTATTCTTTCTCTTTGCTTTCTCTACTAGAAGCCTTGACATCAACATTTCTTGTACTGTTTTCCTATCTCTCTCTCCAAACCCTGCCTATTCATCCACCAAATAATCCTGAGTCTGTGCTTTTAATTCACTTAATAGTACTGTACTACCATTAATACCTACCCCATGTGGCTCATTCGTGCGATGGTTCTCTTTTCTTGGATATCATCACAAGTGTGGATTTAGTCCACTCCTCCAGTATTTTCCCTTCTCTCCATACTTGCCTGCATAGCTCATGGATTTCTTTCATCAATTATTTCCCTCCGGCTTTTGTCATTTGTCCACTTATGTCGTCCACTCCTGGACTTTTGTTTTTCTTCAGGTGTTTTATTGCCTTTTCTACTTCCTCGCACAAGCTGTTATCATTATCATCATCATCGGTGTTGGCGATATATTTTTTTAGTTTATCCAGCAGCTCTTTATTATCTTGATCCGTGTTCCTTTACAAATCGCCACAATGCACAGTCCATCTCTTTTTTTGCCTTTTGTTTGTCTATAAAGATCTTAGCGTCCTTGCCTTCTTATCGCTGTTGGCCTTGGTTTCCACTTCCTATTGGTGCTCTTGACTAGTCTGTACACCCCCTCCCTGTTCTTATATTCTCCAGCATAGTATTTAATGTTGCTACATTGCTTTTCCAGCCATTCCTGCGTATATCCTTTCTTGCAAATACCCTTCCTCATTGCATAACTTTTTGTACTAAGGTGCCATCTCAACCGCTTCCCTTATCTTTAGTGTTATTTTTATTTTTTCCTGTGCTAGTTCCAAGGTTTTCCCATTTTCTTTTGGGTTTTACTCCTAAGGGTAGTTTTGCTTTTACTGCTAGCTCCACTATCTTCTTCGGTGGTAATGCCTTGCTGTCTATGCTAAGGTGTTCTTTTTCTGCTCCCTGATTCTACTCGATATTACCTCTTCATATTTCATCTCATAGTTCTCGAGTGACTCTGTTCCTCATCTTCTCATATTGCGTTTTTCATGTACGTTTTAGTTTTAGTCGTAGATTGCATAGTACCAAGCTGTGGTCCGATGACATATCACCTCCTTGGAATGTTCTGCAAAGTCGAACTGATGTTTTCCAAGCATCTGTCGATCATTACCACATCTATCGTATTCGTATGTTTTCCACCCAGTGCCCTCCATGCCCATTATCTGCAGTCTTTCTTTAAGCTTAGTTTTACATGTGAACATGTCATGATTTGAAGCGAATTCTAGCAAATCCACCTTCTGCGTTACAATTCGTCAGTGTTGTCTTCGGGTGCTGCTCAGTTCTGCACAGATACTTGTGCTTTTGCGAGTGCACAGTATGTCAACATTATTTAATATGGCGGCCCCCCAAATTAAGACCACTGGTCCTGCTGCCTCAGCAGGCCCCTCCTGCCACTCATCCCAGACAATGCAACTCGGGTTACTCAGGCCACGTACATTGATCACATGTTCAGGCCTCGAGTCACTGCATTGTTAGTTGCGTACGTTGAACTGCTTTCGCACCGTACGTAGCAAATCGTGATAATCGGAGGTGGAAGAAGTGAAGATCAAAGTTAGTCAACATTTGTGGAACAGTGTGAGAAATTCTCCAAAAAAACATATATACACAGTCCACTTATTATCATCATTGCACATCATCACCATCAACTTAAACATAGACATTGTTTTTCGATTTAAAGCTTTCATGACTGCAGGGATTCATATTCTTGGTTCTTTCGGTAAAGTCCCTTCTACGTGACTTTACCGAAACATCCAAGAATATAGACATTGTTGTAAAATTGCCATCTTCATGAACAACCCAACAAAACCGATGGGTCACCTGAGTTTCACATCCTTCAACTGGTCAGTTGCCCTTACATTTTTTTCTTTAAAGCTCTCTTTGGAGCAGAGTCTTTCAAAGTGAATTTTGCTTTTGGTCACTCCCTCTTCGGTTCACGAAGAAATATCGTATCAGTGGTGGATGTATACTCGCTTATGTATAAGGCACTGCTCAGGCTAGGTTTTGTAATATTGTGCAACGGTCCTTTGTGCATTTCATCGTGGTTGACTTGGATGTTTCTTATTAAGAGGTTTGCACATTCCCAGTCTCAAATTACGTTTTGCCTTGCCTCGTTTATTGTAATAAGCACTGTTCACTTTCATGTTTGATGATGCCTAAAAAGGTTAAATGGCAATAGAAAAAAACAAGCAATCGTGTTGCCTTGATGAACGGTTTTAATGCTGCATAACTCTCTAAGGAGGATTAGACATGTGGCGCATAACATGCAGTGATATAAACCCTTATTACGTTAAGAGGCAGGGTGCTCTCAGGTCATGTGTGCATTTCAATTCTTTTATAATATAATCTTGGTAAGCGACTGATTCTGCGGGATCGCAGCAAAACCATAACGAGATACTCGAACCCGCTTTGCAAACGAATGTATCCCCTTGCTCATTCCTTTTGTGTGTGTGTGAGTGCTTATTATTTTCATCTGGCAGTTTTTTCAAAGTGTTAAACCCTGCCATGTTATCCCCTATGGCTGCTTTACGCTGGCATACATACAGTGGAGCATTATTTCAATGAACATTAATTAAATAAAACGAATTTCCCTTTGTGTGTTTTTCTGGTTGTTCTGCACGTTGTTCGATGTGCTGGGAGTTTCTTCAGATCCCGAGGAGACTCCCAGCCCGTGGAGTGAAACGTCTAGACATCGTGCCAAAAGATACGCGGCACAATCCAAAAAGCACGCCGCTGATCTACCACGGCAAAACTGAGAAAATAACAACACAATTTGTTCTCAATCCCGGCGCTTGACACAGGATTGCGCTGAGGCTGTGAAAGATAAAGGCAAGAAGACCGATGAGGTGGAGGAGGAGGAGGGTGAAGCAATCCCAGAGATGTCCGTACAGGAAGAAAGGGTGCTGGAGAGGAAAGTGAAGAAGTTGCTGAAGAAAGCCGAGAAGGAGAAAACAAAGCAAGCGACTGCCACTGCGGTCAAGAGTGGAGAAGCAGTCACTCCCTCTGCAGCAGAGCTCTCCCTGGAATATCTAAAAAGGTATTAAAACTGCGCATAATCTTCAACTGTGATGAAGGATGTGTTTTTGTCACTGGAAAACTTGGCAAAATGTACGGCAGAGGTGCAGGAAATAATCAATGATTCAGAAAAAGGTGATGGAATAAGATGGGGGTGGTGCCCATCTTAAAGTCGGTGTTACAGTATATGTTTAATCTGAGGGCCAGTTTTCATAGGGGCAGCCTTATTCTCCCAGTCTTATAGCAGAAACCAATTTTTACAAAGAACAACATTTATAATAAAAAATATATATTTTATGTATAATGAAACGTTATTATGCTCATATTCTTTGGTGATAAGTGTGTACAATGCTCCGTGATCTCTGGATGAAGGGTGCTATCAAAGCCATAATTGTTATTATTTTATTATCATTTAAGAAACCGGTCAACACACATGATGCAGAAACCTCCAAAAAAGTTTCTTAAGACTCGGTGAAGCTTTCCTGGATGAAGGGCGTTGTTTTGTATGAGCATTGCAGCCAAACTTCAGGATGTCCCAAAGGAAGCCAAGCTTGTGGAAATGTTGGTTCGGATTTTTTTTTGTCCTATAAACCATTTCTTTTTCAAATCGCATTTTCAACGTTGTAGATGTTACAACTGCTTATGCACTAAAAACATGCATTGTTGAGATTGCGTTCGCGTTGTGTGCAGATGGGATAACTAAATAAACTGCACATGTGCGCTCCACAAAACACAGTAGATAAAAAAAACAGATTCCTTTCTCCCTGTGTTATTGTGTTTATAAGATGTACAGCTGTACATTGCAATCTCTGTGCGGAGTTTACCATATGGAACACTGTGTACCCCTACTCCTTGGTGGAATCTTAACAAGTCTTTGATGAGCGGCAGCAGCCAGCACACAGGTCGAACAAAATTAACTCCGTCTGTTTATTTTTTTGTCCAATTGTAAAGTTCTTCAGTGTTTTGTAGGTCAATGGTTTTGTCGTTCACATAACTTTCCATGCGCTTGTGGTAGAAAGTGAAATTTGGGAGCGGGCCAGTCGGGCGTGAATGCCTTATCACTCTTCTATCGCTACTACCGTGGTTAACTATTATTGTGACGTTTACGCATTTATTCGTCTACCCATGTTGAGGACCTGGTTCAGCCGTCCATCATACATACTGCAAGTTAAAACACTTCTATCTGCAGCCTTCCCTCGGTACTGATGAATTCGCCTAGTTTTGTTCTTCCAAGGTCTTATATAACCTTAAATTTCGATTTAAAGCTTTCGTGACTGCAAGGATTCATCTTCTTTGGTTCTTTCGGTAAAGTCACGTAGAATGAGAATAAAATAACAAATTGATAAAATAAAATAACACAATAATATTCTCACGACGTTTCGGCCACAACACAAGCGGCCTTCATCAGGTGAAGGACGAGACTGTCTCGTCCCTTCACGTCGTGAGAATGTTGTTGTGTTATTTTATTTTATCAATTTATTATTTTATTCTCATTCTACGTGACTTTACCGAAAGAACCAAAGAAGATTATATGACCTTGTTCAGTTCAACAAACCTTTTCACTCTTATCTATTACAATTTTTTACGTTTTGTGCTTTGGGGCCTGTGCTCAGCAACTTTATAATCTTGCTTATACTTATACTCTTTGGTTCTTTGTTAATGTCGAGTGTACCCCGAGTGTCTAAATGCCTGAAGCAAACTATTTTTTTTTTTACAAATTGCATCAGTACGTATCTGTTCTTGAATGCACATTCACAATGAAGTCAATGCACTTTTTCAAACTTGCTGTGGCATGATCAAATGTCCTTTGCAAAAATAATAGAAATGTTATCAATATAATTTTGTGTAAACATGCAGGCAAAGGCAATATGCTGAATGACGTAATGACTAACAATTCACACCACAGGTCCGCAGGTGGATTGCTTTGGATCTCTCTGCTGGGAACTGGTTGGAGATTTTCCAGTGGGGTGATGTGGTCACCATTTTATTCCGCTGGCGTCCTGTAGGCTTTCTGATGATGCAGTGGAATTCTTTGTTTGCCCAGACACATGCAAACATTCCAAACTAATATCTGTAGCGGGTGATGAGCGCATTCAAGTATCATCCGTGTGTGGTGCAGCTTCTCACATTTTCTTTGATTAACAAGTGCTGTGAGTTTGTTTGCAGTGTGCATTTAATGTGGAGAAATACCTTCATGTTATTAACAACAAAATGTGGAAATTGAACGGAGGAAACTATTAAAATCCTTTCAACGCTTGTGTCTTCAAGCATGGGATGGGTCCGGTGTTATTAAAAATAGAACTTGCAATTGACTGCTGTTATTTTCACTGTCCAGTGCTCTAGCTTGGCATATTTTCTCTTACATCTGATTTCACAAGCTGAACACACCTTATAGTTGCTATGGGTTTTTTGGTGTTTGGTAATTATTGTTTTTTTCTTTCTACGTTGAGGTAACAGAAATTGGCGAGGATGTTTTCAACCTATCTTTGAGAAGGTCATGATGAAATATGATCTATGCCATTATTATTAGCATCGTCAGGAACCAGTCTTACCGGCAGGGGATGCTCAGGGAATGCTGCGCGCAGTGTTTTGTGTGTCATTGCAGTGCGACATTAGCTGGGCGTTATCCAGGGCAAGACGGTATTTAGTTTGTCCACGACCTGTTCTTTCTGTAGGCTTTGTTTACTTTTCCACTTCTTAAAGTTTTAGATCAACATGTCTTTACAGACAAAATGCAGCTTTGTGTAGAGCCTTTCTCACTCACTCAAAATGACGTGAGCTTTTATGATGCATTTTTTTATGAGACAATACAAATGTACAATAATTATAACGTTTTAATAGAGTTCTTAAAAGCTGCATTTAAGAATATTGTCGTTTAAGTTTTGTATCATCAGCAGTGTTCTATCCACAGCTGGATGAAGGTCTCCCCCACATCATTGGCTTCCCTCACTGTCTTGCAATGACAAATCCACGCTCACAAAGCACGGCCTTGTAAAAATGTAACAGCTAGATCTGAGATTTCATGAAATTTTAAAATTTCAATTCAGAAAAATAGTCAGGACAAAGATATATTTTTTCACCTTGGTCATTTATAATGTGAAATGATATTTCATGATAAATGGACTGGAGACCTACAATTAAAACAATCATGAAAGTATAAAGGTTAAACCACCTCAGGTTTTATAGCAACAATCATAACCGATGAAAACTTAAGTCCAGGAAAGCATTGAATAAAGTAACACTGAAGCCTGCAAAGTTGGCATAGGATAATATACGCAAACCAAGTCATGCACAACAAGTTCACGTAAGAAAACAAGTAGTCAACTTATATGTATATTCTTTGGGTCTTTCGGTAAAGTCACGTAGATAGCTTCAAAGAAAATAACAAAAAACGACGACGTTTCGATCGCAACACAAGCGGTCGTCATCAGGAAAAGGGGGTTGGCTTCTAAAGGCAAACTGTTTATAAAGGTTTAAAAATGGGCATAGCAGCATGGGCAGGGTAGCTAATGTTGATGTGAGGGATTAAAAACGGTGTGCCTCAGCATGTAGAGGGGTGATAGAAGGTGATGTAGGGCGGTGTAAGACCCAAAGAATATGAAGTCAAGATTTAACTTATATGTATTGTATGAATCGGTTCACTTGACCACAGCTCTTACTTAGGCACTTACATTCTCCACAAGGTATAAAAAATGATCAATGAATCAAATCTTGAATAGAATCGTGACCCCAAATCATGACAATTCATCACATCACAAAGTGGACCGAATGGTTCCACCGTTACTTCATATAATTGTACAGCAGTGCTCATTTGCAATGGAAGTATTAAGCTGTATATTAAGCAACATTTTAATTTCGTTTTGAATTCTCTCCTTTAAAAATGTTCATATTTTTTTTCTGGTAATTCATTTATAATTACCAAATCATATGAAAGGATGTAATTAAACCTGGCTGAGTCATTTTCAGATTGAGCACTCGGTGAGGCAAATTGCTGCCACCGTCACTTAATACGAGGGGGCTGGGGCTGCTGGGAAATTTTCCTCTGCGTGAATGTCGACCCTTTGTGGCGACTCTGCGATGAAATCTTCCACGGGTGTCTGTTGCAAAACCCCGCAGCGAGAAGCAGCAATGCTATCTTCTTCACATACTCATGTGAAGAAGATAGCATTCTGGCGAATTGCCCGATGATGCTGGAAGTATTTACCAGCGAAACGTCGTACTCAAACTGTAAATGTGGATTAACTCTTCAACACACCGGTGGGCTGAAGTAGTGAATTATTTGTCTTTTGTCAACGTGACACTTTTCTTTGCTGATTGGCCGTGTCGGGTGGTGGAGGGTTACGACACATTTATAAATAAACGCGATCTAACCCAAAAACCTTTATTATGAATAATATTGGTCGCGAAAGCCTACGTGTTAAACCTTCTTCACATACGGTACATTAATATTTATGATTTTAAACGCTGTCTTCCATTGTCAAAATTGGTTTGCTTGTACGTGTTGTTTTACAGTTGGGCGACGGATAAAGAGCAGTGGAAGTTTCAAAAGCTGCGGCAAACTTGGCTTCTCCAACACATGTACGACGCTGAAAAGGTATGGACGTTGTAAACAAAAATGCGCAGGATTTTTTTGTGCATGCTCAATGTGAAACCATGAGTGCTCTTACACGACGCCTGAATGATATTACTGGAATGTCATCCTGAAAATAATTTAATTGTTTTATTTTTAAATACCAAAATACACCGCGAAAGCTTCTAATGGTGTTCGTTTAAAGCTTCGATCTGGTGAAATGAAAACGGTCGTTTGCCAAGCGTGTACAAGATATGAGTTAACAATTTTTACGTCACTTAGTATGTACATATTAATATCCATTTATATATCGAAAAAAACACTTGACTGTAATTATTATATTCAAGTTAATTTTCAACTCAAGCCATTCTGCTTAAATTTTATGTCAACTTAATTCCATGTATGTGCTATTCCTTGTAAGTTTGTATGTGTGTGTATACGAGGGAGTCATGACCCGTAAGTTTTTTTTTTTCCCACTGCACTACGAATGCGGTGATGAGTTTTATCTACAGGCTGGTTATCAGCAGTGGAAAGTAGTACCTGAATGTTTCCTCGACCTCCCTGACTTAGCCTTAAATGAGTACTTGGTGTATAAATATGACCACTTTGGAGACAAAGGCATGGTAGTGCTCAGTCACACCTCTCTCGTGTCCTGTACAACCCTTAATAGGCTCTCTCAAACATCACTTGCCTCATTGATTTCGTGTGGCTAGAACAATACAGTGTCTTGAACTATTTTATTAATTAATTATTGATGGATTCAATTTTGATTTAAAGCTTTCTACGGTAAAGTCACGTAGAAGGGAAACAATAAAATATTTTTATTATTTTATTGTTTCCCTTCTACGTGACTTTACCGAAAGAACCAAGAATATTGATGGATTATTTCGCCTAAAGTCACAAGATTCATCCATCATCTCATTGACTTTGCTGACCAGGGCAGTCTTCCGAGATTACGTTTCATGCAGCTCAGTGTTACAAACACCTCCATTAGCACAAACCAGCCCATTCCGGCGAGCCTTGCCTCTCCTGGTTGTTGCAGTGGTGACACTTGTGCCTCGCAGCAAGAAGTCAATGGATTCAAGTCCTAGCTCCAGGTGCCTTTGTGTGTGGAGCTTGTATGTTTCTCCCCCTGTTGTTGTGCTTGGGTTTCCTCCCCCCCCCACTCTCCGGTTTCCTCCTATAGCTAACAACCTCTCATGCAATTTAACTAACTGTTATTGGCCAAATATCCCTAAAATATTACCTTCAAATTACGAAATTAGATTATGCCTAGCAACATCACCCTCTATTATAAAAAAATTATCACGGCTACAGAAAAATATTAAGTTAGGCTTTGTTGGGTATACGAGCATAATGAATCCAGTAATAAAATTGGCTGGTTACAGTGAGGGAAAAAAGTATTTGATCCCCTGCTGATTTTGTACGTTTGCACCACTGACAAAGAAATGATCAGTCTATAATTTTAATGGTAGTTATATTTGAACAGTGAGAGACAGAATAACAACAAAAATCCAGAAAAACGCATGTCAAAAATGTTATACATTGATTTGCATTTTAATGAGGGAAATAAGTATTTGACCCAGTAATAGGTTTTTACCTTTTTATCTGGCACCAAAACTGACACCTTTATACAAGGGATCATGTTTGCAATAACCACAACACAATGATATCCATTGTCCTTCAAGAACAGTGCATATCATTATCAGAGTTGTCTCTTTTTGTTTGCATTTTGACTGCTTGTGTTGTGGTTATTGCAAACATGATCCCTTGTATAAAGGTGTCAGTTTTGGTGCCAGTTAAAAGGGTAAAAACCTATTACTATATCTTGCTACTGGCAAAGGAGGTCTCATAAAGTATTTGACCCCTCTGCAAAACATGACTTAGTACTTGGTGGCAAAACCCTTTTTGGCAATCACAGAGGTCAGATGTTTCTTGTAGTTGGCCATCAGGTTTGCACACATCTCAGGAGGGATTTTGTCCCACTCCTCTTTGCAGATCTTCTCCAAGTCATTAAGGTTTCGAGGCTGACGTTTAGCAACTCGAACCTTCAGCTCCCTCCGCAGTCTGGAGACTGGCTAGGCCACTCCAGGACCTTAATGTGCTTCTTCTTGAGCCACTCCTTTGTTGCCTTGGCCGTGTGTTTTTGGTCATTATCATGCTGGAATACCCATCCACGACCCATTTTCAATGCCCTGGCTGAGGGAAGGAGGTTCTCACCCAAGATTTGACGGTACATGGCCCCGTCCATCGTCCCTTTGATGCGGTGAAGTTATCCTGTCCCCTTAGCAGAAAAACACCCCTAAAGCATGTTTCCACCTCCATTTTTGACAGTGGGGGATGGTATTCTTGGGGTCATAGGCAGCATTCCTCCTCCTCCAAACACGGCGAGTTGATTTGATGCCAAAGAGCTCCATTTTGGTCTCATCTGACCACAACACTTTCACCCAGTTGTCCTCTGAATCATTCAGATGTTCATTGGCAAACTTCAGACGGGCATGTATATGTGCTTTCTTGAGCAGGGGAATATTGCGGGCGCTGCAGGATTTCAGTCCTTCACGGCGTAGTGTGTTACCAATTGTTTTCTTGGTGACTATGGTCTCAGCTGCTTAGAACTACTCCCGTGTAGTTCTGGGCTGATTCCTCACCATTCTCATGATCATTGCAACTCCACGAGGTGAGATCTTGCATGGAGCCCCAGGCCGAGGGAGATTGACGGTTCTTTTGTGTTTCTTCCATTTGCGAATAATCGCACCAACTGTTGTAAACTTCTCACCAAGCTGCTTGGCAATGGTCTTGTAGCCCATTCCAGCCTTGTGTAGGTCTACAATCTTGTCCCTGACATCTTTGGAGAGCTCTTTTGTCTTGGCCATGGTGGAGAGTTTGGAATCTAATTGATTGCTTCTGTGGACAGGTGTCTTTTATTCAGGTAACAAGCTGAGATTAGGAGCACTCCCTTTAAGAGTGTGCTCCTAATCTCAGCTTGTTACCTGTATAAAAGACACCTGGGAGCCAGAAATCTTTCTAATTGAGAGGGGGTCAAATACTTATTTCCCTCGTTTAAATGCAAATCAATTTATAACATTTTTGACATGCGTTTTTCTGGATTTTGTTGTTATTCTGTCTCTCACTGTTCAAATAAACCTACCATAAAAATTATAGACTGATCATTTCTTTGTCAGTGGGCAAACGTACAAAATCAGCAGGGGATCAAATACTTTTTTCCCTCACTGTATGTGGAATGAGAGACACAGCCATGCACACGACAGCACCTATATTAACACTGAGTTTTAACCAATTTCTCTCCACTTCCTTGCCAAATAATTGCATAGTTTAATTAGACTGTGATTTTTTTTTTACCTGCCATTATATCGTTTAGAAACTTTATCGTTGACAAACAAATAATGGAAACAATATAAAAGTACTTGAAGAAACATGGAGAGATGCATACGTGGAATTACAGTCGTAGAAAATTGCTAAACATGTATTACAGAATATGTGCAGGTTAAAGATAATGTTTAAGAAATTATTGGGCAGGACACATCACTGGAGAAGATTAATGATAACATTGACAGCCATGGAATGGAATGCGTCCGAGAGGCCATGCACTAAGGAGTGATGAAATTAGCTAGTGAACAGACGTTTGGTGGATTGTTACTTTTCAGAACCACGAGAGATTGTGACTTCTTGGGGAGGCCATCCAGCAGTGGGGACAGACCATGGCTAATGATGATTATCGTACTACTGGAATGTCTCATGTCAAGCCACTGAACCCTCATCTTTAAATCCGAGCTTTCCAGATCACTGGTGTGTCACCTCGGGTAACGAGCAATCGCATTTGCAACGATTGTGATGAGCTCAACCAAGCCACTAATTATCGCACAAAACACTCCATCCTAATTTGGTATTTGTAACTTGATTCAGCTGTACCCAACCCTTGAGGGTATAATTAACATCAGAGCCAGAAAAAAACATATTGTCTCACCCACGGCTATTTAGCACCATCATTACAAACACCAGGCAATGGAAACTCTTTGAATAGATACTGAGAGAAACTCATTAATGTTTTATTCTGTTTCTGACCCTAGCCAAATGAATGTGCAGTGCAGGTCAGTGTTGGGGGGTATTCTGTTGAGGGAACAGGTTGCTGCACTGTAACTGATGCCTTCAAAACAACTTGCACAAAATGGAGGTGGGGGGGGAACCCAAAAAGTCCTTCAAACAAAGTGCAGTATGATCAAATGTACGCACGTGTGCATATGCACAAGATGCATAGTCTCAATTTAATGGATGTGGCTGCGTGCTTTTGTACCTTCTGGCCAAACACTTTGAACAAGTAAAATGTTATATTTGTGCAGGTGCCAGGTAGCTCTCTTTTTCCTACATTACAAGTCGGCACCCATAAATTAATCAAAGCAGAATTTTTCCCTCTGGCGCTTGTTGCTGCCCTGCAGCAATTTTCAACGAAGGCCGAAAGCCTTAATGCATTTCCTGACGAGCCACGGTCACGTTTTTTTGCTATTGTGACACAGGTGCCGGACAGCTATTTCAGAATGCTGCTGAAGTATCTGGCCGGCCTGAAGGGCCAAGCCAAGGACACAACTATTGAGAAGGCAGAGTCCATCATGAGGAAAAGTGAGGTGGAGGAGGTGGAGGAGGAGGAGGAAGCGGAGAAGGCAGAGGAGGAGAAAGGCAAGTAAACACAATGGTTAAAACGTGCGGCTGTGAATTTTCCCAACAGGGGGACCCTGAAGAAGATATACAGTGTGGTTGGTGTGTGCGGTTCTGATCACCGAAAACGCCTCTATCAAAAGTCATGGTCACTACTATACAGTGTTACCATTTGAATGCATTTTGGGTTCCAACGAATAGATATTTCATATGTTGCTCAGAATTTATATTTCTAAGAAGTCGGTCGTGGTAAGAATGCCCAGGTTATAGCCTAATATAGTAGAATATTGAGTTATTTTTCCATACTCAAAAAAAATCCTTGTTTTTTGGGATTGAAGTGGAGTTGAGTCGTTTTCCAGGGAGGGCATGCAGCGCGAGCGGTACGTTTGGGAGTTTTCTCTTGGGCTTCGGGGATGTTCTCTTGGCATATTTCCCCCACTTCAACAAGAAATGTGAAACATACGCGGCACCTTCACGGGTGATTGAAAATCTGTGTCAGAGCTGCTCTTTGTTCCGCGGTGAATGTGCGCTTGATGTTTTGATGATTACGATGTTGCATGCTTTTGGTGTTTGTCGCAGGTAGTCACGTTGATGAGGAAAAGAAGAAACGTGTACGCAAGGTTCTGAAGATGCTCTCGTGATTTGCATTTCCTTAGTCGTCGCTCCTCACAAGATGAAAATGAAACGTGTTTTAAATTACACATGCAGCGTTGAGAATGAACACGTGTGCGGTATTGATATATATATTTTAATACGGAGCAATCATTACTTGTCGGCGCCATAATGTTGTATTTATTATAGTACACATGGGAATGCAAAGTGAGGGGATGTTGCTATTGTTTAGAAATATTTTGTTTGTTTTTACAATAAATGCATTTTCCTTAAAAGTTTCATGTCGGTTTTTGAAAACAGATTTTTGTGACTACTTCCCCGCTGAGGTATTGCACTCGAGTATGAACAGGAAAAACGTTGCTTTCAAATAGCACTGTAAATTACTTGCTCAATGGAAAACTAATAATAGTCTTGGACCTCGCACATACTGCATATATCAATTGACAACACAATTCTGGAATGGATCCTTACTCTAACAACCACTATACACCATCACCTTGTAACTTTGCTGAATGTTAAAAGCATTTGGGGTGAATGATGATGGAGGACGTTTTTCTGTCATCCTTTGTTGAAAGGAATGTGCATTTAGCCCACATTGAGCACCACGAATTGTATCTTCATACCGCCCTCTGCGTTTACATTAGAATGTTGGAATTGGATCTTGTAGTTTCACTTTAAGCTAAAAGCTGCATTTGGCACGGCCGTTGGCGAACAATAAACTGCTTCATAGCAATTATAAAGATTCAAATATAATATTTACTTTATACTTCTGCAGCATGTATACAAACTGAAAGTGAAATGAAGTTCAAAGTGGGAGCAGTGGCAGAGTGGTTTACCTACAGCGCGAAGAACCCAGCGTGCCCCGGATAACATCAGTGGCGCGTGATAGCTGAACTGGGGCCACTCTTCATCAGTCTGCACTGACAAGCGTGACACGTTGAGGAGGAGACCTTCACCCAGTAGTGGATTGATAAAACGCTGTACACACTTCATGTTGCAACATGTTACTGCTGGAGTGTTTGTTGGTCTTTATAACTATCAAATTTAGGTGAAGGAAACACTCCAAATCGAGTTCGATGACACAAGGACCTTAGCCACAATGCCGGAAACGAAAGAGATCCCTCCAAATAAAATAGTTCACTGATCAATTCCGAATACCAATCAGCACTTCAATTTTATACTTCAGTACCGCACTTGTCGAGAAACTAATAAAGCTGATCGAGTAACCTCAACGTAAACACAATGCACAATGTAGTGTATGTGGAGGTCAATATCAGAGTTCACTTTCAAGTGACATTGCACAGCTTAAGAGGACCATCTCGTTGAATAATGTCTCGAGTTGAAAGACGTGCTTTTGTTGGTATAGAGCTCGTTGTTGAGCCATTGAGATGGAATGTGTCGATTGAGTGGATCGCTCATAGATTCCCCGTCGATTATGTTGATGGTAAAAAGGTTTGCAGCAGAGACCTGTTGGCGTGACACTGGCATTCTATTGACGTGAAAATACATTGGCCACCCACGCTGGTGGACGTGATTCATGAGATGGTGTGACGAGATTGGCTCAAGTTTGCACGTAGATTGATTTTGGCATCTTTGGAGGTCTTCATACAACTGAATAGATCATGGCTAAATTTTGATTTAAAGCTTTCATGACTGCAGGGATTCATATTTTTGGTTCTTTCGGTAAAGTAACGTAGAAGGGAAACAATCAAATATTAAAAATATAAAACAATAAAATTCTCACGACGTTTCGACTGCAACACAAGCAATCATCATCAGGTGTGGAAACCACAGCAAGAAATTTTGAAAAAAGTGGCGGTTATTTTTAACGTTCACACCACGGAGAGAGATTTGACAGTTTGTTGAGATGGACGAGTCCATCTATGTTCGGAAAAGAGGGTGGAGACGAAAATAATGGATGCGGTTTGAAAGCCACCGTAAGCGTGAACAATCAATTAAGATCCGAAATGCTTTATCAAATCCTTCCAATGATTGCTAAGCCAGAATCCATCTTCTCGGTTGAAATTGTTTCTGTGTTTGTATATGTGGATAGCCTCAGGAACGAATCTATCATGGTAGCCAGATGGCTTGCAAAGAACCTCTGTCTTGGAGAAGTCAATGTCATGTGAGCCTACTGAATTATAACAGTGATCTGCCACGGCCGAGGTGTTGGTCCTACCGTGTTTTAGGTCTGCTTTGTGTTCACGAATGCGGTCCGAGACATGTCGTTTGGTTTCACCAATGTAACTACTACCACAGAGGCAACTTAATTTGTAGACGCCAGGGTACTGTATGTCCGGAATCACATCTTTTACAGACGGAACCAGATCACGGATTTTATGTAATGTGTTGAATAGGACCTGGATCTTGTGTTTATTCAAGATTTTGGAGATATTTTTTGTGATCCCCGCAATGTAGGGTAAAGTAATGGTTTTGAAAGACTCCTAAAGAGGGTCCTTCTTCATGGTTGGAGTGATAGCTATGCGGATTGTGTAGTCGGAGTAACCATTAGCCTTAAGAGCTTGGTGTGCGTGCTTGAGTTCACTGACTATGTGTTCCTGGTCGGATATGCAATGGGCTCTATGATGCAGTCTTGATGAGGGAATTCTGCTGGTATGGTGGTGGGAATCCGGTTTCAGGTAAGCATCCGTATGGGTAGCTTTCCTGTAGACAGAGTGCCTCATTGAACCATCAGGTCTCTTTTTTATTAAGACATCCAAAAAAGGTAGCTTGCCATCTTTTTCGACTTCCATGGTAAATCTGATGGCTGGGTGTATGGAATTGAAGTGGTCGAAGAATTGGTCTAGAGCAGGCCGGCCATGTGGCCAGATGACAAAAGTGTCATCCACATACCTCTTCCATAAGGTTGGGTGTAGAGTGGCAGTCTGGATGGCGTCAGTCTCAAATTTCTCGATGAAAATGTTGGCTGCAACCGGAGATAGAGGTGAGCCCATTGGGGTGCCCTCAGTTTGTTTGTAGAAAGTTCCATTCCAAGTGAAGTATGTATTGGTTAAGCAGTGTCTCACCAGGGGGGTGCCTCAGTGTTTAGTCCTTGATGAACCAAGTCTTCAATGATTGCGATGGTGTCAGGTACAGGAACTTTTGTGAATAAGGAAACTACATCAAAACTGGAAAAACCACCTCTGCGGTACAAAATTCTACTCACCTGGTATCGACAATCAATGGTATTTCCCTGTCCCCAGACGACCTGCTTGTCAGTTTTGATGTAGTTTCCTTATGCACCAAAGTTCCTGTATTTGACACCATCGCAATCATTGAAGACTTGGTTCATCAAGGACTAAACACTGAGGCACCCCCCCTGGTAAGACACTGCTTAACCAATACATACTTCACTTGGAATGGAACTTTCTACAAACAAACTGAGGGCACCCCAATGGGCTCCCCCCTATCTCCGGTTGTAGCCAACATTTTCATGGATAAATTTGAGACTGACGCCATCCAGACTGCCACTCTACGCCCAACCTTATGGAAGAGGTACGTGGATGACACTTTTGTCATCTGGCCCCATGGCCGGCCTGCTCTAGACCAATTCTTCGACCACATCAATTCCATACACCCAGCCATCAGATTTACCATGGAAGTCGAAAAAGATGGCAAGCTACCTTTTTTGGATGTCCTAATAAAAAAGAACTGATGGTTCAATGAGCCACTATGTCTACAGGAAAGCTACCCATACGGAAGCCTACCTGAAACCGTATTCCCACCACCATCCATCCAAGAAGAATTCCCTCATCAAGACTCTGCACCATAGAGCCCAATGCATATCCGACCAGGAACACATAGCCAGTGAACTCAAGCACGTACACCAAGCTCTTAAGGCTAATGGTTACTCCGACTACACAATCCGCATAGCTATCACTCCAACCATGAAGAAGGACCCTCTTGAGGAGCCTTTCAAAACCATCACTTTACCCTACATTGCGGGGATCACAAAAAATATCTCCAAAATCTTGAATAAACACAAGATCCAATACATTACATAAAATCTGTGATCTGGTTCCGTCTGTAAAAGATGTGATTCCGGACATACAGTACCCTGGCGTCTACAAACTAAGTTGCCTCTGTGGTAGTAGTTACATTGGAGAAACCAAACGACATGTCTCGGACCGCATTCGTGAACACAAAGCAGACCTAAAACACGGTTGGACCAACACCTCGGCCGTGGCAGATCACTGTTATAATTCAGTAGGCTCACATGACATTGACTTCTCCAAGACAGAGGTTCTTTGCAAGCCATCTGGCTACCATGATAGATTCGTTCATGAGGCTATCCACATATACAAACACAGAGACAATTTCAACCAAGAAGATGGATTCTGGCTTCGCAATCATTGGAAGGATTTGATAAACCATTTCAGGCTTTCAGACCGCATCCATTATTTTCGTCTTCACCCTCCTCTTTTCCGAACATAGATGGACTCGTCCATCTCAACAAACTGTCAAATCGCTCTCCGTGGTGCTAACGTTACAAATAACTGCCACTTTTTTAAAATTTTCTTGCTGTGGTTTTCACACCTGATGATGATTGCTTGTGTTGCAGTCGAAACGTCGTGATAATTTTATTGTTATATTTTTATTATTTTATTGTTTCCCTTCTACGTAACTTTACCAAAAGAACCAAGAATATAGATCATGGCTGTTTGTGATGTGGAATGCAATGAGTTTAGGTGACCTCTACAGCCTGTAAGGAGGCCACTTATATTTACTCCTGTTAAAAAGCCTAGATTATTGAATTTGTATTTGCTACCAATCATGTGAAGTGACACCCAACACAGTAGTCTTTATTTCTTCCAGCATGAGACACTGTCTCCAAATATTTTATTTTCTCCAAGTGTCGAGATATTACACTCAAGCCACTTTCCCGACGGTTCCTTGACCTGCTTTCTTTCCAGCCAATTACCTTCCACTTTTCCTAACATTCCAACCGACCACAATGTCAATGATCCTCCGTTGCCCGCTCTTTCCATGTTGTACTTCTCCAATCCCTTCAATTTATCTGACTGTAACCAATGCGCTTTACAGGCCCACTGAGGACAAATCAGAGGGCTTGTTTTTAATTCTTGATTATCCGCGTCATGTGGTGTCCACCATGTCAGGGGAGTATCGTTGGTAGTGATTCAGTCTACACGTATATGCAGTTCAATTCATAGGGCTGCCACTTAATTATTGATAGTCTTGGATGGCTCTACTTGAAATACACGGTTTGGTTGCTTTAGAGTGCATGATATTTTGTTATAATCGATCAATTAAATAGATT